TAATCATGCTGTTTTTTGTTATTCGTGTTATCACAGATTGCCTCACTTTTTCATTCTTATTACTGGTAGAACCATTATTATTATTATTATTACTATTATTATTATTATTACTATTATTACACAATTAATATTCACCATCTTATTATCCTATAGACAAAACACCATGATTGGTTTATATTTGAATTTTTATTTGTAAAGTTATGTAAATATATTGGCTGCGGTGACACCTATATAGGTAGAACCAATAGAATGTTCCAATGTCGTTGAAAAGAACATGTTCCAAAATGGCTACTAAATCATATAGAAAATCCCAATGCGAGTAATCTGAATAGAAATCCATCATCATCCACTGCAAAACACTTATTAATGTCAGGTCACAAAATCAATATTAATGACTGTTTCACAATTATTTCACATAACTCTAATTCAAGGTTATTGAAGGTGATGGAAGCACTTTGGATTAATCACATACAGCCTAAACTGTGTGTACAAAAATCAATAGACTGCAATCTTCACCTACCCTGGACTACTTGACCTATCTAAATATGATTGGTCATTAGTATGTACTTTTGTTTTTATTTAACTGAGTAATTGTCATGATCTTTATTTTATTATTGTTAACCATGTTAGTTGTAAAGAAACTACGAAATGATATCATCTCGCGAAATTTGTCTTCTTAATGCCTTATTCAAATATATTAGAGTTAGGTCTGATGAGATGTAATTGAAAGCACAATATCACTGTTCATTATGGATAAGATTTTATTTTGATAAGTCACACACACTGTTTGACTAAATGTGTTGTTCTAAATTTTCCTATGGGAATATTAAATGTTTTATTTATTCACTTTGCATACTCTTCCCTTATTATTATTGTTATTCTCACTCTGAATTATTTCGCTCTTCTCACTTATCATACTAAATTAATTTATCATTTTTTTGTAACGTTCAATTCTATATTATCAAATTTCACACAATATTACGTAACGTTTTTATTGTATTCACCTAATAGTCCTATAATTACACACTCCTTCCAAGTCCTATACATCTTAAGAATTGTTCTATACATGACATTAATTGTTTTGACACTTCACATTTAACTATGATTACAATCACAAACATTTGAGTTGCATTTCATGCCGCAAGTGTTATGCGAATTCACACCTCTGATTCGATTCTCTCACTGGATAGTAAAATTTAGAACAACACATTTAAACGAACAATATTGTGTTTTCAATTATATCTCATCAGACCTAACTCTAATATACCTACATAACTTTACAAATAAAATTCAAATGTAAGCCAATCGTGGTGTTTCGTCAATAGGATAATAAGATGGTGAATATAAATGGTGCTATTAGTCATAATAGTAGTAATGATAATAACAATTTCCTATAGTTTGGTTTGTAAGGGTTAGTTTTGTTTTTACGAGTTGATCGCGGATTGATATCAGCTAGAGAACCATTGAAAACCACTGAGAAGTCGCGACCAGTGAGGTCCATCCAGACGTCACGTGTGTGGATGGATGTCCCACCTACGACAATGGTTGGGGTCGCACTAAATGACGAATTGGTAGAAGTTAGAACTCATGAGCCATTGAATCAGGTCCCAGTGGCTGAATGGTATACCAGCTTGCCTTGTAACCAGAAGGTCCTGGAGTTCGAACCCCAGTGGGTGCGTACTGCCGATGATTCCCAAACTAGGATGAAACATCAGCTGTCCAGTACTCCCCTGGCTTTCAATGGTTCTCTAACTGATATCACTCGGTGATCAGCTCATAAAAATAATAATAATATTTATAATGGTTTCACCAATAATAAGAATGAAAAAGTGAGGCAATCTGGGATAACACGAATAACAATAAACTGCATGATTAAACAAACAAATGTTCAGGTAGACATAGTGGTCGATAAAGACTAAGAAAAACAAATGAACCGATTGATTGTAAGGGAAGTAAATGAAACTCCTTTATAATAAAGATGTGATAAGATTAAGGGATGATAAGAGAGGGGTTGAAAATATAAGCAGGGGGTGGTGATGAAGTCATAAGTTGGTTAGGTTTTAGTAGGTAAATAAGGGAGGGATAATGGCTGTATGAACTTCTTTTGAATGCATAGTTTAGGCTTAATAGTTCGAATGCCTATCGCCTCAGCTGTGTGCAGTAGGTACATATTTACGTACGATTGTACAGTTTAATAATAAATTCGTTGGAAGAAGAATCTCTTCTCTGAATCACCACTTTTTTTGATTTTCTGTATGTCCTAATGCAAATTTTCCACGAAATATATTGAAATAACAATAAGGAATAGCGTAACCACTAGACAATGTCATTGACTCGAACTCCTGTGGATGTTTACTAGTAAACAGTGAACTCAAGCTAGGGTGTCGAAACACCCAATTGTCCAGTGCTGACTTCCTGGTGGTTTTCCAATACTTCTGTAAGCGATGTCAACTCATAGTGAAATCCTCTAACCAATTAAATCGAATCAAATCACCACAAACCAACAATTAAATATCATGCAATTCTTCCAATAAGCAAACTTGAACAAAGCAAGAACAACAATTGTACCAGGATAATATGAGCTCATCTTTTATTATTCGAGGATTCTTCTCAACTGGTTACAACCTGAACTATAAAAAAATATAAATAACATTAAAGATTTGAACAAACTTTGCCCCGATCATAAGGAGTAATTGGTAGGAAGTAAAATTGACATTAGTCCGGAATGATTTAACTAATTAAGAGTTAGAAACACTGCCTATTTATAGAATAATTAGACATTTAGGTTTGGGTGAAAACAAAACACGTAGATCAGCGAAGATTTTTGTTTTCATTAATGCCTGGATGGGGACTATCCATGAATTAGGCTTGGAAACAAAAACAGAGTTGCGTATGTATATGTGTGTGTATAGAAACAAAGTTTAGCTAGAAAGAGCATAACAAAAAAGTAGATTATGTAACTAAGGAAAATGTTTTATCTAATAGCCAATAGAAAAAAAAGGAAGAGAAAAGAACAAGGTAGGTTGAGTCATGTTTAGATGAGGGAGTAGAGTTTTCTAAACAAGAAAAAGGGTGACTCATAAAAGTTGTATATTTTGTTATCACCAGGGCAGTGCAAGATTCACCACTGTCTCTTTCTGCGTACATAAATTTGGTTTAAGTCGTTTGATAGCAATTGCTCCAGCAAAGCAACAAGATCTAGACGGCAAAATCATAGGATTTTTACGCAGAAAAGATATCTGGAGGGCGGTTTATCTTAACTTCGAAAGCTTCTGCCCTACAAGTTACAAAAAGGGATTGGTGACAACATTATTTGATCATCTAAGGAAGCTGTGTTCAAAAGAAAAGATTGAGGAAGAGCTATCCATTGTGATGAAATGCCTAAGCGGCAACGGTTAACCACAAAAGTTCATCAACAAGTATGGGAGACTTCATGTTAAAAAGTGAAAAGCAGCACAGTAGAGAAAAAGCCCATCTTTCTGCAGCTTGCATTCAAAGGTGATGATATTGCTAGTAGAATAAGATGCAGACTGAACGCTGCCCTGAAAAGAACATATCCAGCCTCCAAGCTTGTATGTGTTTATCAAACAACTAGTTGTTTGAGACAATCAAAAGTGGACAAATACCCACCTCATGTTGCCTCCAACTGTGTCTACCAATTTACGTGTATGTGCCAAAGCAAATACATCGGAAGAACAGAGAGAAGGGTTATTGTCCGCATTTCTGAACACATACCAAAGAACCTGAGACTGAAAGGTCCACAAGCATCAAACAGTGCGATTGTGTGTCATTTATTGGACACGGATCATATTGTAGACAACCTGAAGTCGTTCAAAGTAATCAACCAGTAGAAGAAACCTAGCTTGCTACGCTTTGCTGAAGCAATTGCTATCAAACGACTTAAACCAAATTTATGTACGCAGAAAGAGACAGTGGTGAATCTTGCACTGCCCTGGTGATAACAAAATATACAACTTTTATGAGTCACCCTTTTTCTTGTTTAGAAAACTCTACTCCCTCATCTAAACATGACTCAACCTACCTTGTTCTTTTCTCTTCCTTTTTTTTCTATTGGCTATTAGATAAAACATTTTCCTTAGTTACATAATCTACTTTTTTGTTATGCTCTTTCTAGCTAAACTTTGTTTCTATACACACACATATACATACGCAACTCTGTTTTTGTTTCCAAGCCTAATTCATGGATAGTCCCCATCCAGGCATTAATGAAAACAAAAATCTTCGCTGATCTACGTGTTTTGTTTTCACCCAAACCTAAATGTCTAATTATTCTATAAATAGGCAGTGTTTCTAACTCTTAATTAGTTAAATCATTCCGGACTAATGTCAATTTTACTTCCTACCAATTACTCCTTATGATCGGGGCAAAGTTTGTTCAAATCTTTAATGTAATTCATATTGTTTTTATCGTTCAGGTTGTAACCAGTTGAGAAGAATCCTCGAAATAATAAAAGATGAGCTCATATTATCCTGGTACAATTGTTGTTCTTGCTTTGTTCAACTTGAATATCAATCTGATGCTCTCTAGTGACTGGCCCTATCAAGGTAGGTAGGTGGTTATCTGAATTCTTCTAGTGTGAAGTCGGGACCAATGGGGTGCAGTACAGTGGGGCAGATGTGAGGAGATTTACTCTCTGGCGATATTAGCTAATGGTCGCGCTATGTCATGAATTGGTAGAAGTTGGAACCCTTGGCCTGGCTACTGGATCCTATCCCAGCAGTTGTTTATTCGTCTACCAGTTCGCCACCTTGTAACTGAAAGGTCTTGGGTTCAAACCCTCCAGTGGTAGGTACGTACTGATGAAGCGTGTCAAACTGGGGGTGATGAAACAGCTAGCTGTCCAATACTCACTCCCTGGTAGTTTTCCAATGATTCTATAACTGATGTCAATACCGCTGATCAGACTTGATTCAAATCAAATCCCTACGAAAAAAAACTTTCGAAAACGAATTTATTTATAAATCATCTTTTATTATACAAAAGAAAGAAATAATGAGTGATTTATTATTTTTTTTACTGAATACAATACCAAACTACTTAATTTGCTGCTGCAAAGTAGTAAGAAAGAATATAATGCTTCAAAATATATATATTACATACAATCTAGTAGAATATGTGATGTGCTCGGAGAATTTCTAAAAAAAAGGAAAACAACCAATGATGGAGTTGACTGCTAGATCATAACTTCTTCATGATGATGATGATGATGATGTGAGGCATGAATTTCATTGAATTCTGATGTCGTTGATGGTGTATGCGAAACAACAACGATATCTGTTCCATGAATATACGTGGGACTAGAACTACTTATTCTTTCATTGCTGTCTAATCTATACTCTCTTTGTTCTCTAATGCTTTGCAACACTTCCTTACTTTTACCGCCAACATCTTCATCATCATCATCATTGTTGTTGTCGCCGTCGACACCATCGACACCGTCTTCATCTCCTTCTTCATCATCATCGTCTTCTTCACTAGTGTATACACCTAATTCTTTCAATTCTTTCACAGTCAGACATTGTGGTGAATCGGCATAGTAGTCATTTTCACCAATTTCAGGAATAGCTAGTAGAACAGTAGCTGATAATGGAGGAAATTGGTCATAATTTTGATGATGATCATTGCAGTAATAATAATAATGACAACAGTATTGATCGTCTGAACATTGATCGCCTAATGCTGATGAGGAAGATGATCTATTTTGATCCGTGAATGCATGCTGAACCAGTTGATTAGGAAATGAGGTCGACTTGGCTAATATATAAATAGACAAATAAAAAAGTGTGAATACAATTAAATATATATATATACATTGGGTCATAGGAGTTATTAAAAAGACAGTTGCAGCACTACCCAGCCTGGCTAGTAAAAGGAGACCAAAAACGTGTATGCAGTTCAGTGATAGAGCATCTGGTCAACTCAGAACATTCAGTGCCTTTCGAAAAATCCTTCAAAGTAATATACAAGATTCAATCAAACCTATCAAAGGGAGTCAAATCAAAACATCTGGGCATAGCTGAGGCGCTAGCTATCCAAAAGCTCAAACCTACGCTTTGTGTCCAAAAAAATTACGTCCAACCCTTGTCCCTGCCATGGCCATCATAAAGAGGTAAAAAATTTTTTTTAGTAATGACAATCTCATCTAAACTTCCTGTTTATTCATGTTATTTTAAGTTTTTCTTAATCCCTGTCTACACTACCACATTTTCATATCCACACTTCCTGTTTATTTTCTCATTTTACTATTTCTACATATTTAATCCCTGATTGCATAAACAATTATTCATCATATTAGTTTTTTATCCAAACATCCTGTATATTTTGTTATTTCTACATTTCTAGCCCCCAATTGCACAATGTCAATCTTCTTAGTTATTATAATGCTACCTTGTTCGAGTTTTATCCACCCCCCTGTTTATTATGGCATTCTAATTCCTAATTGTAATTTTTATTAAAGTGACCCTTAACCAGAAATTATTCTGGAACTTTCTCATCCATTTGATATAAATACACGAATGTACAGCCTAGATGATGACTTCGTCGAAAAGAAAATTTTCTTCGCTGCAATTGTCTTTTTAAAAATATATATAGCGAAAATATTCATTCAGACATCTATGGGAAAACAAAATAATCGAGCAAAGAGTATTCTTTTCGATAATTTCCTCCTCTTCTGGCTCTACAAATATATACGCATATGTTTATATACATTGAATATTCTAGAATAGTAGTCAGTAACGATATTAGTGTTTTTAAAATACTATCGATTTGTTAAGTAAGATCACAATGGAATTACATTTCATTAAAGATGTTTCACTAGTAATAATAATATAATAGCAAATAGAATACCAACTAAAATTAAGGAAATTTCCACAACCACTTGAGGATCATTCAAACCTAGATTGCCAAGGTAAGGGCAATGTCTGAACTAACTTCTTTTGGATGCACAAATTAGGCTTGTTAATATGGATCCCAATAGCCTCAGCAATATTTAGTAGTCGAACTCTTGAGGCGAAATTGAGATTTGTTGGTATGCGATAAGTGACCCTAAAAGCATGGTTAACATCAATCTCGTGTTTTTGTATCTACAAGATGAGATAGAATAGCGCTACGAATAGATTTTGTTTGTCCTTTACTTAACCACTGTGCAGGGTGATGTTCGGAAATCCGACGATAAACACGCCTAATAGTACGGCCTATGCAACTAACTGGCTCCACAGGAGCAGTTAAATTGGTAGATATACATGGAAGAGGCGAAATTAGGCAGTTTATCTTTTATTCCTGAAAGCAAAATAGGAGTGGTTGGTTTTGAAGACACAGCGTAATTCAGCAGCAGGGAATGCTTTTTTTACCGCATTTCTAAGGCGTTGTGTTAGTATCTGGCTGATGTTGTCCCCGAGAAACTGAATTTGTTGGAATGAGGGAGGGGTAAATAAAGGTATTAAGGAGACAGATATAAAGTGAATCTGTAACTTGCGGAAATGACCTTCAATAATAATAATTATTATCCCCTTGGATTTCCAGTGGAACATGCGGTCCTCTGAGGCCATCTACATCAGTTAGCCCCAAGGTTGCCCATAGGCCCTCATGTCCTCTACATCAAACGATCGCCTCCATCTCACCGTCCGATATATGTCCAACTTTTCGTGATATCACCCAACGGTTTCCACAGTGCCCATGTTCAATCCGTCCTCATTCACTTCTGCATATTTGTTGGGTAACAGGACCTTAGTTACTTTATTTCCAGAGTTTCATGTTGCTGATCCTTTCCGTTTGGTCATCTGTTCTTCAGTATGGAGCCAGAGAATGGGTCAGTTGTTGACAAAAATTCTTCACTAGTCTGTTCAAAATACCTATCTGATGCTAGCTGGTATGAACGTCCTCATCCACTCTGTCTCCTGTAACTGAGGCTATTGTAACGACAGAAGATAAGGGTCAGGAGACAGACTGTTTATTGAAGAAATCGAGAGGTTTTTATAGATTTTTATGTGCATTGTTATTAGCGTTATTGTTAACGGAGAAGCAACCTCTTCTGATTGGTTTTTTTTTGCTGAAGGTTAACTCTCTTGTCGCTTTGTGGCCGTTTCTCAGAAAATCAAGCCATATATCTGCGAATCATGTATGTATTCACACTTCAACTCCGCTGTGATTGGCTGGCGGTTTTCTGAAGGTTAAGCCTTGTTATTGTTTTTCCCATGACCCTGATTTGGGACGTGAACACTGAAGTAAATTGCTGTCTACAATTTTGGCTTGCAGCCAGCTCTCACTACACTATGACGCCTAGATAAGTGTAAGCAGTGGGTTCCTTCAAGTTGCTCCCTTTGACTGTGATTGGTGCTTGTTGTTGTTGTTGTTTGGTGGTTGTTGATTATCTTCATCTCCTCTGCCTTTTCTATGTTCACTTGATGTCCTATCTTCCCTGCTGCCCTTTTTCTGCCAAACTGTTAATTTTCGCCTGTAGATCGTTGGGTTTGTATGACATTAGACATGAGTTGTCTGAGAAGAATCTTCATTGTCAACCTAGCTTTGTCTAATGCCTGTCTTCAGCTCAAAGTCCTTGTTGAGTTTTCCATTGTGGGTTACTTGACATATGACATTGTCATATAACTATTTAATTGAATTTTAGATTTTCCCGTCGATTGATTGAACCGAAGTGCTCGGTTTCAGGTTGACATGTCTGTCGGCTTCTTATGCAGATGCTTCGACGATGTCCCGGCAAGTAATTAGAAGTTAATTGGTGGATGGTGACTAGCAGTGGAATCCGGGATGCGCACTTCGTCCCATTTGGGACTCGTCATCTGGATGTACATGCATTCCCCAGTTAGTGAGTGATGATGTTTCCACCGAGGCTCGAACCCAGTGCCCATAGTTTCAAACGCCAAAGCGTTATCCACTAGGCCACAGATGACGAGTCCTAAATAAGACGAAATGCACATCCTGGATTCCACTACTAGTCACCATCCACCAATTAAATTGTCACATAACTGTTGAATAAGATTGATAAAGACTTGGACCAATGCATTCTGTAGAGTTTAACTAAGTTCCGAATCACTCCTTGGTCAGCGTCACATTCTGATACACTGATGATGCCCAAAAAGAGGATAGTATTAACTCAGTTAGTCGGTACACTTTTAGCTTATGACATCACAGATTGGATGCCCATAACCTAGTTCACCTTCACATAAGTTGGATATGATGATACAAGGCCAAGTTAAACTTTAAGCACCACTAATAACCAATCAGCGAATGACCTCGAATGATCCAATGAGGTTCATGCACTTGATTTCAAGGTTGTATTTCGCTTGATTCGTGTCAGATGCCTGTTCTAACGAAGTTACACTTGTAGTTCGATGAGGGCAATGTTTTGTATTACTGCCTGGATTTGCGGTTGCTTAGGAAGGGGAGAATGTGTTCCTGTGGAGGTGTCATGAGTATAAAAAGCTTTAACAGGTCGACTGATGGATATGCCCATCGTTGTGCAATTTGCTGGAGACAAGTTAGTATTAGGGCAGGTAAGCTGATGACTTTAATATTTCGTAGGAACATTTTTTGCTAGGTCGTATCTTTCCCTAACCTAGATTTTTTATATTTGTGATTACTGGGTTTTAAAACAACCTGTGAGAGGTACGGCTGCTGAAACTAAAAATAGTCTTGTGTCAGCAGTTAAGTGGTACCAACACTGCAGAGACATCGACTCATGGGAAATGGAGAGAATTACTTCCTTGTTGAGCGGGGAAGGTATCGTCGTGCACGTGGACGAAACTGTGTTACTGAAGAAAAAATACAACCGTGGTCGTGAGCGAGCAAACAAGTTTTGGGTGATTGGTTTATATGACACCTCCCTTCAGAAAGGATTCGTCGAGAGAATACCAAATAGAAAGGCAACTACTTTAATACCTATTATTACTAGACTTGTGAAACAGGGATCAATAGTACATACGTATGAATGGAAAGGTTAAAACTCGCTGTCATCTCTTGGATATATTCATCACAGAGTGAACCATTCTAGCACACTTTTGCTGATCCATTTACAGGGACACACATGAATTCTACAGAAGGATTTTAGGAAGATTGAAAAAGAGGATTAGGGCTATAAATGGATCTCACAAGGATGTCATTTATAGTCATTTGGATGAATATGTTTGAAGAATGTGGTGGAACCATTCTATTGACACTCCAATGCTAAACTGGGAGATTTTTCTTTCACACGTTAGAGAAAGACACCCTATGTAACACCCTATGCAGTTTTTATGCCTGTTTTTCATAAATATACGTTTTTCATAACCAAAAATACCTCCAACTGTGTATACCAATTCACATGTATCTGCGGGAGCAGTTACATTGAAAGAACAGAGAGGAGGGCCTACGTCAGATTCTGCGACCATGTAGCAAGGAGCCTCCGGTTAAAGGGACCGAATTATTTATGCTCTTCAATCGCCAAACACCTGATTGACACAGGACACCGAGTAGATGTGCTGGAATCATTCAAAATAATTAACAGAAAAAGTACCTCAAGTCTTCTCAGGTTTGCTGAAGCTATAGCAATAAAACGATTTAAGCCTGACTTATGTGTCCAAAAAGAATCCGTCGTTGGACTTCAATTACCCTGGTAACTGACTTCTTAGTAACTCTTTGTTTTCTAATTTTGTTAATTTTGTTAACTTATCTTTTAACTCCACCCCTCCCCTTTATGTTTCGTTTGACTCTCTCAAGAGATAATTTTTCTTGATCTTCTGAGTTCTGCTCACTGTATTACATCATCAACTTCTCATCTGACCTCATGTGCACCGTAATTTTAAAAATTTTGATCTTCTCTTATCTAATTACGTAACTATTGCTAATTGTCTTTTGTTACCACCCTAACGACACAACTGTTAACTAATTTTTTTTCAAGAAACTTCTCTCTACCAAGATATATATATATATATATATTCATGTCATGACACTTTAGACACCCTGTAAATCTCAATGCCATATTTTACTATGACGCTCTGACACTATGCCTGCTAATGGACAAAGGTTTGTTAAAAAATTGCACACTATTTATTTTTAATAACAAAAATTCAGGTTGTACGCAGCTGAGAAGAACCAACGAAATAAAATGGATCCAGATTATTCTGCGCCAATGTTTCTTCTCTCTTTGTTCGAAAATGCCTCTTTCATGTGACTGGTTAGTTGAAAGTTGTTCGCTGATTGGTTGTTAGTGTTGCTTAAAGTTTAACTTTGCCCTGTATCATAAAACTTCGATGAGCATATTTTGTTGATGGAGACATTAGAATTTAATCGACGGGAAAATCTGAAATTCAATTGGATGGTACAAGGTTTCACTAATCTGTTCAGTAGGTGTTTGAAGGTCATTAGTGTGGTCGCACTCTATTTGTGGTTAGTGGTGCTTAAAGTTTAACTTGGCCGCCTAATCTATTCAAATTCACAAAATTGCCCCGCTGATCTAAAAGTTCCAGAAAAAAATGAATAAATAATTTAAAAAAATTGAATATACTGTGGTTAAAATGTGCTGAAGACTTACTCAGTAGAATTTCCTTATTCTCATCCGGATCTTCATTTGATTTAACGATTACCTCTGGATTGACTGGACTGTTATGTGTAGAATTAGAGTTTTCAGAGATATCTAAATTTGTAGAAGTATTATCAGTTATAGATGGCGTTGTTGTCGTCTCTGAATAATTTTCACTCGTCAGTATCTTTGTTGTTATTTTTTTATTGCCTTGATAATGACACTCTTCGATAGGTCCAAATTTAACCTTATATACAGTGAATAAACAACAATATAGATTGAGAAGACATTAATAATTAACAGAAATGGTTTGTTCTACTGTAGGGCCAACTAGTACTTCATCAATGCAATCTTTTATTTAAAAGTTATAAAATGAAAATCTTGACTATTATGTCACTCATGACTTATTGGACAGGACATAATGTAAAAAAACTATGTAAAGCTAAGGTAAATAGTGTACGAGAATGTCGCCTGGTAACTGGAAGGTCCTGAGTTCGAACTCCGACAGTGGGTGGGTGGATAGGTACTATTTTTTTTCCTTCACGTTCCCAGTGGAACATAGGGCTTCAAGCTAGAGGCTTGAAGTTTCGGTAGCAGTGTTTATTTTTACGGGATAGGGTTGCTAGCCTCATGCCCATACTCTCTTTCACCCGATCATACTTTACTAAAACTGTCGTCCTTTATATTTATTTTGTTTGTTCTGTAGTGAGAGCTAGCTGCAAGCCAAAATTGTAGATAACAATTTACGTCATTGTTACACTCTGAATCAGGGTCATGAGAAAAACAATAACAATGGTAAAGTTTACCTTGAGGAACTCACCAACCAGTCACAGCAAACTTAATGTGTGTAGATACGATTCGCAGAAAAATGGCCTGACTTTCTAAGAAACGGCCACAAAGAGATGACAGAATAACCTTCAGCAGGAAAACAACCAATCAGAAGACGATGCTTCTTCACTAACAATAACGCTGATAATAATGTACATAAAGTCTATAAATATCTGTTGATTTTCTCAATAAACGACCTGTTGCCTGACCCTTGTCTTTTGTCGTTACAGTTCTATGTAAAAGGTAAACTCACACTGTTCTACCATCATTTTTCAAATGGTGAAAAGAAATTAACTTTCCCGAAGGAAACAGAAAGAATCTATGTCTTTGATGCCTTTGATTTTTGGTTTAGCTACACATACATGTTAGAGAAAACAGTTGATAGTTAGATGGTATAATAGGGTGAGCATGATTGAGGTTAGGAGTCGAGTGCTGAGTAAAGAGAGGAAATCAATCGACGAGGGTGTGAAGTCACACTGATTGAAATGGCTAGGACATGTGTGTTACGCATGTATGCCTAGCCATCGCCTTCCTCGACAGTGGGCAATGTTAGCTGATACAAGATGGATCAGGTTTGAAAAGGGCTAGTGTTGGCCAAACCAAAGTATAGCTTCATCAGTCAGTGAAGTCCACAACAGTTAGTTCAAACAAGCCAACTATGTAGGTAGGGGGTGTAGACTGGTTTCCTGACTGGTTGAGATCCTCAGAATGGTAAAAACCAGTTACTGAAGGCAATTGGTGATATGGCTCAAAATCCTAGTTCTCAGTGGTTGGAGCAGATGCATCCACTCTTTGTGATTTACCATACCCAATGAAATTCTATTGTTCTTACTCATATTTCCGTTTATTATTTCTCTGTCTTTTGAATCTCTCTTTACTCTCTTCTCTTGCTCTGTGTAGTACAAGGAGAGAGTCTGGAAAGTTGTACTGCTGCATATCTGTGCAAAATTCTACGCTGAAACCCCTCAGTCCAGTTAGCGATAGTTATGTATTTACTTGAAAATCTTCATTGCTTAGAGTTGCACAGATACTTCATTTGAACTCCATTTTGAATAACCTTCAAAATGAATGTCATCTACACCATGATTTCAAATTATATTGTAACATCGTACTAAATTTAATGATGATGAGGTTATTATAATTTCAGTGTCTTAGTTTTTGGTGCACAGTAAATATTTACCTTGAGATACAGTGTATCCTCTTTGGAGTGTACACAGATGAACTGGATATATGTTGGTCAGTAGTATCCTTATTAATCGCAATAGATGCACACAAACTTGATGACAACCCACTAATTAATACTGATCTGATTTTACCTGTCGTGATTATGTCATTTTACTAGTTATCGTAAATATAAATTCTCACTACTTCATGTTTAACCTTGTATATGAGTTGTTTTCTATCTTCTTACGCTTACATGCATATGTAAATGTAATTTATTGACTTTTCAATACGTTATTATTCTTTCTTGAATGGCAGTTGCTTCTGTATTGCTACTTTTGTGTGATTGTATTGTAACGATAGAAGACAAGGGTCAGGAAAAAGATCGTTTATTGAGAAAATCAACAGATTTTTATGTATATTATTATCAGCGTTATGGTTAGCAGAGAAGCAACGTCGTCTGACTGCTTGTTTTCCTGTTGAAGGTTATTCTGTCATCTCTTTGTGACCATTTCTTAGAAAGTCACGCCATATATCTGCGAATCGTATTTGCACAAGTTAAGTCTGCTGTATCTACCAGTTTGACTGCAGCTGCGGAGCCAGCTACATTGGGAGTACAAATAGGCAGGTTCATCATCGTATTTCCGAACATCATCCAGGATGGTTAAGCAAGGGACAAACAAGATCTATTCGTAGTTCTATTTTAGCACACCTTATTGATACTGAGCATAAGGTTGATGTTAATACTGCATTTAAAATTATTTATCGCATTCCGACTAATCTTAATTTTGCTCTACGAGTTCTTCTTCTACAGACAGCTGAAGCAATCGGAATCCACCTTAAGAAGCCAAGCCTATGTGTTCAGAAGAAATTTGTACAGCCACTTTCCTTATCGTGGCCTTCTCTAGAAGAATGCATAAACAGGACTACGTCGCCCCCCTCCCAAATTATTTTATTTTTATTTGTTTCGACCACTTCATCTTTAATTACGTGTTATCCTTGTAAAAATTAATTTATTCTATCCATTTCTACCTTTCAAATGTGTATTGATTTTCCTCGTTAATTATCAACCCATTGACATTTTGACACTGTTTAATTATTGTTAACAAGCATATCTCCACTTAATTGGTAAACTGTTGTGTATTGAAATGCTATGTATATTAGAGTAGAGCCAGAGAAGAGGATCTAATTGAAAAGTAAATATTTCTTTGCTCAATCTTTCTGTTTTCTAAGTCTGCTGTGATTGGTTGGTGAGTTCCTCAAGGTAAAGCTTTGTTATTGTTTTTTCTCATGACGCCGGTTTGGTACGTGAACACTGACGTAAATTGTTGTCTACAATTTTTGATTTGCAGACAGTTTTCACCACAGTATTACTTTCTTTACATTTCAGAAAAAGATAGGGTTTATTTAAAATCGCTTTGTGTTTTAGCTACCGCAAAGCCTAGACTCTGTGCTGTAGGCAAATTTAACCCTACAATTGTGTTTACGTCTATATTCCTGAGCGTAAGATCAATTCAATTCCCATCCTTGAATCAAGTCAACCTGTCCCGGATCAGCCTAGTGTTGTTGCAACACAATTATCCATGCCTGACGCGTCTATCCCCCTTGTTTAATGAACTGTGTGTGTTTTACATCGATCCGTTTAGTCAGACTGTTGAACTCATGACCCAATCAGAGTATTTTGTGAACTGTTATTTTTGCTGACCCATGTCTTACCTTGTACCATTCTGTCGAGTTTATCTCATTTATTGATCTTCATCTGCATCAGCATACCTGGTTAAGTAGCCAATTAAATTCTATCTTTGTGCCTATGCTCTGTCTATTTCTTAACTGCTCTCTGTTCTATGCCCTGCCTTACTTGGGTTCATTCTTCTACTGACTGCTTACCTGAATGTTAGTGTCTGATTCCGGCTAGTTCGCAATTTTCGCTTTAACGTTATTCCGCTCTGATAGCGGTACCTTGCTTTCTGTTAAGCGTTGCGTTTTGTACTCTTGAAACCGTTAATGTTTGTGGTATATATAATTATTGATTTGTTTATTAATAGTAACGTAGAAACAGTGCCCGGCTTCTTGTTTGTTCTGTACCGGGATAGCCTTTATCTACGCGTGACTTAATTTCAAGCGATATTTCGCTTACACTGAGAAAGACAATTCATTTGGAGAATATTAATTTTTTTAACTGAATGCATAATACTGTTTGACATTGTGTATAAATGTGCTCAGATGTAGGTAACCAGTGTGACTGTGAAATCAGCAATTTTCTCTTCACCTAACTCAATAAAGCTGAGAACATAATTTCTTTTAATTTGCAGTAGCACCACTGGTTTAGCAGTAGTATGCCCACCAAACACACCTCATGTGGTCTGGGGTTCAATTCTTGGCCTGTGTACACCTTTATCCCCCCCCCCACTAGTTGGTTGTAAGCCCGGTTTTAACAGGGAAGGTCAGTCGTGGGACTAGCAACCTCAACCTGTAAAAGATTAGCCGGAGTGCTACCGGGACTTCACTGGGAATGCTAAGGAATAAAATAATAAATGAAATAAAACAGTGGCTAACAGTGGAATACACGACTGTCGTTTAATCCCTTCTGGGATTCCTCAATCAGATGTGTCTGTAATACTATAGTATTATTAATGCGACTGAACAGATCTTGGAATGGAAGTCAGCTCTCTCTCTCTCAAATTCATCGATTTTAAAAAGGCCTTCGAAAGCGTAGCGTCGATCGAGAGGTGATTTGGCAATTACTTCTCTACTACAGGGGTGCCGCCAAAAATCATACATCTCATCCAACAGTTGTACGATAATGCTCCATGCCAGGTAATCCGCAACGGGAAACTCACGGAATCCTTCGAAGAATTGAAGACGGGTGTAAGACAAGGCTGCTTAATATCTCGAATGATTTTCGCATTTCAGCTCTCTGAGCTAAGATCATGTTTAGTATCTCGAATGATTTTCCTGATTGCAGTAGACCGGATAATATGACAGACAGCGACGAGCAGCGAGGAAACAGGCATAAAATGGACCCACACAAAATACTTGGAGGAGCTGGACTTCGCCGATGATATGTGTCTGATTTCCCACAAACTGGAATATATGCAAGTGCAAAACAACAAGTCTGCAGAAGAAGCATCCAGAAATGATAGGACTTCATTCAGGTGGACATAGAGAAAACAGAGGTGATGAAGATCCCTGGCCAACAGCAACATCAACACCAACAGTTGCAGCAACAGACAACAATCAGCCCAAATGAATTGGAGAAATCTGAAGAAAGCAACCTCCGTTACCTACTCGCCTACCTGGGAAGCATCGTTTGAACTACATGCGGAAATGACGAGGATATCGAAGCGATGATCATCGGCAAGCAATACAAGCTCCCATTACTCTCAAGTCTGTGAGGAGATCAACAGCATTCAGCATGCAAAATAAGATCCGGATTTTCAACTCCAATGTGAAGTCAGTGCTACTCACTTACTGATCAGAGACTTGGAGGCACGCCACGAAGGGCACTTCGAACAAACTACAGACTTCCATCAACAGCTGTCTTCGCTCAAGACCAGGCGGCTGGTCAGAAAAGACCGGCAGTGGTGAGGGATCTCTGTGAATGAACCAACTCAACAGGAACCAACTGTGCAACAAATATGCAGGAAGAAATGGAGGTGCATTGGCTGGCCATACTCTGAGAAAACAAACCATAATCAAGTGAGTGACATCACACGCTAGGCCATCACTCGAGTGAAACCCAAATGGGAAGCGGCGAGTCGGTCATCAGAGTGACGGTGGGGTGACCTGAAGGAGGACATGTGAAGAGGAGATAAAAGCGTTTGGGCAGACGTGGAGCCAAGTGAAAAGGTCGGCACAAAACCGAATGCAACAGACGTGCGGCTGAATCTCTATGTTCCTCTAAGAATTAGAGGAAACAATAATAAGAATAATAGTTACTGAGACTCCTGCCCAGCATCCAACACTAGGCCGCTGGATAACGAGAGCCGCTTCTTATGCAATGGATATCGGCCCTTATTTGTTTAGATTTTTTCAACATATCAGTACCCAGTGGAAAAAAACATCATTCACTACGGGTGCAAGCTATCAAGTTGAAGGGTCTCAAATCGGACGAAACACTCGATCATTAGAGCTAAATATCACCATGTTATTCTTCAGACTTTGTCAGAGTGTCTGTACCAAGCAAAAGCTGAGAAGTCAATATAGAGAGACCAGTCATTTTGGTCCAATAAATATCAATCTATGGGGAATATAAAATAACTCAAAAAAGTTATTAGCACCTTTATGGAAGAACAAAAGGGTTTATTGCTCTTCCTTCATCTATAACCAATGTATATCTAACAATCATTAGAACCGGCGTATTGCCTAGTTCAGTGGTGATGTCATAGATATGGTTGATCGATTTCACTAGACCCAACTGGAGTGAAACAGAGTCATATTTTACAATTCTTGAGTTAATCTGTCCATACTGGACAGTGGATCATTAATACCTCAGCAGTATGTGGCAGAGGTTCCAGTGACGGAGAAAACGTGACTTTCTAGGGTTTCGGACACTTTGCTAGTGATTTTCCAAGGAGTCCCACCGATTGACTTCTCTATCATTTCACCTTTATTAATTATTTTAATTAGTCTGCAGACCACAAAAGCCTGTGACTCTGATTTCCCATCAGCCGCAAATTCATGTGAGTAAACTCGTTTATCAATTAAAATCACAGACAGCATTCACAACACCAAAAATAAACTGTTAGTTACCGTTTTATGAGATGTGACTTGTTTGCTTCCTGTATCGTCTTTTTTATCATTATTTACAGGCGATCTGATTGAATCATCTTCGTTTTTCTGTTCAAAACTCTTCCTATACGAATGAATGAATGAATATAAAGCTGTAATGAGCAATAAATAATTATCCGATGAAAATGACATAATAATAAAACAGATGGCAACTGCACACTGAATGTGGCTCATATTGAAGTCAATTAATACCAAAAATATAAACCATAAGAAGGATAATTAATAATACTTTGATAAAGCTATTAGCATTAAATAGCGAAACGTCAGTAAAAACAATATCGTTTTGTTTTTCATTCATTGGGAAATACAAAAACCTTTATTATAATGCATAAGAAGGATATTTAATCAGACTGAACTGCCTAGTGAGCGAAGTCTAGCGAAAATGTTTCTTTCAACTGTTGTGTTAACTTGTAGTCAGTTTAAATCTTTCTTTAGTCTGAATGATAGATTTAGTAGTAGTTCTACATCGTTATAATTTCTTTTAGTGGTTATATGCAGTAACTACTAAATGTCAACCTTTCTACTTCTACGCTTATTTCACTGACCTACATTTTGACCCAGTATTTTTTCGAATATAAAGGCATACTACTTTATTTTAAGCAAGTAGTCTATGTTTGCTGAAAGTAAAAAGTTTACATGATGTGTATGCGGTTTCAGCACTCGTGTGATTGCTGGTAGGTATTACAGCAGAATCTAAGACTTGGTGGGGAAAAGCTGTCCATATATCCTTCGTCCACAGTAGGTCTTAAAGCGATTCCGACAAACGGTATGATCTCACTTGAAATTAACTGAACTTTTGCTCACCCCAATTAACCCCTACAGCAGACGCTTTCTACAACTTCTCTAAGCACTGATATATCTATATTCACAAATGATTATCAAACATGAATATGAATTTCGCATACAGAGTGATAAAAAAGGAGGATGAAGTAGTGACAAAGAAAGCATCCTTTCCGATGAATCATCTTACAAAGCTAAACAGTCATATTCATCAGTATTTTCAAGTATTGGTTTTGTAGGGAGTTTTGTGTTTTGTTTGATTGGTTGGAGGATTTCATCATGAGCTGACATCGGTTAGAGAACCACTGGAAAACCACCAGGGAGTATTGGACAGCTATTGTGGTATTATCTACTCTGATTCGCAAGTTCCTACTAAACTTGAGAAATAGCCTGATTGTGGGTGGCAACGTGTTCCAATACATGAGATAACTGTTCGTCAGTTATGTTCTTGGGTCTCAAAATGTACTTCTGAATATCTTAAATTGGCTTTCAACTAGATCGATGTCTTGGATTTCTTGAAGGAGGCAAAGCAGATATGTCATCATAATGGCATTGTTTGTACTTCAGCACAGAGACCATTGTATCACAGGAAGGATATACTGTCAATTAATTAATATTTCACTTGAAGATATTGTACGTAGGGAAAATATCATGCAATAAACCCCTCTGAAAATTCTGTTGGATGAGATGCATAATTGTTGGCGGCACCCTGTAGCAGAGAAGTCGACGAAGTTAAGATAGAGAGTTGACTGCCATTCTAAGCTCTGTTCAATGATGATCCGTAGTGTTGCGATTTGATCCATGCTTGACTTGCTCCTCCTGAATCCAGCCTGTCCCGGTCGAAGCTTTTCATCCAGGGCGTGTTTGATTCTCTCCACGATGATGCGGCTTAGTATTTTGCTTGGGATGGACAGGAGTATAATGCCGCTCCAGTTCTTGCAAAGTATTAAACGAGAATAATAACTTTAATAATAATAACAGTGAGTTTGTTTCAGATAGTATTGTCGATTCAGTTTGGAAATTTTAGCATGCTATAGATCACTGAATCTAATGTTCTCTTGATATATCATGGTGTGGTGAAAGACGGAAAATAACAGTTATAAGACGGCTTAAATGATGTTTACACTTATGAGAAAATAAACAAAAATTGAGAGGATTATAAATATAAGAATATTAAGAATAAAATTTTTTTTTTACTAGTGCAAAGATGATTAGTTAGTTAGCTAGTTCATGCCTAACACTATTTTCGTCACATAAAGTACGCGCCAAATATGGTATCGTGGAATTTTTATGGTTAGACGTACGTGCATAAAGTCTTCTGAAAAGACTTCTTGTTTTACCTGAGGAGACACAACGTTGGAGCTGCTGGTAGAGTGGGTGCTCAGAGTCTGACAAAATTCCTCTAGCGAATCTGTTGCATGACATCAAATGCCTATCAATGACAATGTCAACGATGTGGCCCAACTGGTTACCACTAGCCCTACTGACAGTCTTCAGAGTTCTACGAAGTATAGTATGACATTGTCTTTTTTAAGTAATCCAGGAAAGAATAAGGGTGAACAGTAAAGAAGAATAGGTAAGATGCACGAGTTGACAAACTGTAATAGGAGGGTTGGTTGAGTTATGTGTGAGTGCCTTAACTTCTTAATGTAAAATATCAGACGAAATATTATTTTAGAAATCGCTAAGACATGGGAACGCCATGATAGATCAGAAGAAAGATCTAGTCGAAGATACTTAAATTAAGACTTGATTTCTATACATATATATTTCATATTCAGTTGTCTCAGACCATGAACTTCAGTCTATCGTATTCACTCAAAATTTGATGCAAAAGTACACGCTGTTCACTGTGTTTAACAAAAGTACATTAATAATAGTAAGTAAGTAGTTAAATTTTGATCACTGTTCATTCAATTTTGTTTGTTATATTTTGATGTCTATTTATGACTGACATGAGTAGACAAAGTTTTTAAAAACAAGATGTATCCTTTTATACATAAACCTTTGTTATTTTAATTTTGATTAATTTCCCTGAAGAAATTCGGACAAGTTTGCTGAACTCAAATCTTCACTTGTTCATAAGAATGTTTTTAAAGGGTTACTAAGTCAGATAGAAAATCCAAACGTCTACATTAATAGAGATTCAAAATTATCTATTGACAAAGTCATTTATTAATGTCAGGTCAAAAATATCAGAAATCAATATTGAAGACTATTTTTTAATTATTCCTGACGACTTTAATTCAAGGTTATTGAAGGTGATTGAAACATTTTTGGAGGGTTAATCCCATGCATCTTAAACTATGTGTGTGAGTGTACAGAAACCACAGTAGACTTCTACTTTTGTCTAGCATAGACTACTGGGCCCAATAAAATCGTGATTGGTTATTACTATGTATTCGCCGTCGATGACGTTAGCTAGTACCAGTTGAGCTTTATCGCTCGTCAATTGGCAGAAGTTGGAATCCATGTTCTGGCCATCGGATTCGGTCCCAGAGGCAGCTTAATGGTGTGTGAGTTTGAATCGTGTTGGTGGGTGGGTTCGTACTGCTGAAGAGCGAACAAAAACCAGCGTGACGAAACAGCTGGTTGTCCAGCACTCACTTCCTGGCGGTTTTCCAGTTATTCTCTGACCGATGTCAGCCCATGATGAGATCCTGTAATCAATCAAATCAAATCACTGCAAATCAACACTAGAATACCTGTGTTTTATATAACTGAGTAACTGTCAAAACCCCCTTTTTTCACTACTGTGAACCATGTCAGTTGTAAAACGATTGTAGAGAAACTAAGAAATGACGATGTCATCTCGCCTGTAGTTTTCTTCGTAATGTCTTAGGTAAATTTATCAAATGGACTAACTGCTGCTATGCTATCTCTTTATTCATTAGTTCACAAGACAGTGTCTGATTCCACTGAAGAGAAGAAGCAGGTAGCAGACAAGGACTGATGTGAATCGGGAAGTCGGAAAGATTCATATCCATGGTTAATTATGCTTGCATCTTTAATGTTTATTGGAAAGGGGCATAAACATTTTTTCAACGACCATATTAGTACTCAATCAACTGATAACAAAACTCAGCATATTCTGTGACTGGATTTTAGTGTGTTCGCTGATTCATCATATGTTAACTGAATAAAGAAACTCAGCATGCAACAATCATCGTTGACTAACCTTAAAATTGGATTGATCACTGAATGTCCTCCATTTGAACACTTAACACGTGGTAGAGGATTTAAGCCTGAGGTGAATGTTTTTGATCGTGTAATCGTACTTGAACTGTTCGCATCTGTAGATAAGGCAACAGAAAAGGCAAATATTCGTGAATATATATTGGAAAGTAGTAGTGCTAGGTCTCCATTTGTTACAATTTAGGAGATAACGGCATTATTTCATCATGAACTGACATTGGTTTGAGGACCATTGGAAAACCTGATGGCAGTACTGCATAGCTGTTTCATCAGTCTAGTTTGGGACTTCTTATCGGTGCGCACCCACTGAGTTTCGAACTCAGGGCCTTCTGGTAACAAGGTGAACTCGTAAACCATTAGGGAGCAGACACTGAGACCTGATCCACTGTTGGCTGGCTCTATTCAGTTAGGCAGGTAATTACTTGAGGTTGTTCTAGTGAGAATTCGTGACCAGTTGACTTCAGCACAGTGGATCGGATATGAGGATAAATACTCGCTCTGTGGTGCGTGAATTGGCTGAAGTTTGAATTCATGGACTGGCCACTACATAGGGTATTAGCGGCTGCTTGATGATCTGCGAGTTCATCTTGTAACCGGAAAGTTCTGGGTTCGAACCCTGTTGGTGGGTGAATGTGTAATGCTAGAGAATCTCAAACTAGGACAGTATAAATAGCTGTCCACTCCTCCAGCGTTGATTTTCCAATGGTTCCCTAACCGATGTTAACATACGATGAAGTCCTGTAACCACTGAAATCCCTGTAAACCAATACTTAAATAATAATAATAATAACAGCACTCCATTTCTTCATTAATATACAGAATAAGCTTATTTCAGATGGCATCATATACTACCGCATCGAAAATGAAACAAGCAATAAAGGTTAATAAAGCAGGATTTAATGAATTCAAATCTGTATAGATCAGTTTGCCATTCCAAAGAGATGATGTACAAGAAGTAGTCAAACGAAAACTGGACAAAGCTATCAAGAGAACTTATTATGCTGTGAAACCTGCCTTCCGTAACACCAACAAGCGAGTGCTTCAACAATCTGGAAAAGATCAGTCGCCAATCCTCGACACTTCAAAATACGTTTATCAATTTGAGTGTGTTTGTGGAAGCAAATACATAGGTCGTACGGAAAGGCGATTGTCTACTCATCGCATGATGGAGCATTTGTCAAAATGGTTGAAAACAGCTGAGTGCAAAGTGCCAAAATCCTCAATAACAAAGCATCTTGTGTACTATGAACTAATATCGACGCTGTCAGGTCATTCACTATTGTCAGCAGACAAAGAAACAGGAAGATGCTTGCAATTGCAGAGGCTTGTGCAATTCGAGTTTACAAACCAGGTCTCTGTGTACATAAGGAGACGGTCGTGACTCTTAATCTACCATGGTAATACGTTTCACTTATAATTCTACCTCTTATTATTTTTATTATTATTATTCTCATTATTATTATTCTTGATTCATTTAAAACTATCCTTTATCAGTAGGATTATCTTGACTCACTTCAACACTATTATTATAACTATTACTATTGATATTATTCTGTTTGCAATTCTTGATATATTCTCTAATGACTAATTGTTTATCTAAGTGATGTAATTGAAGCGTAATGCAATTTATCTTAATTTTGATCTCTCATACTCTCTCTCCCCTTATCTATTTGAACATGACCTGGAAAACATTCGCACCTTTCTGCATGATTAATTCAATGTAGTTTGTTTACTTATCAGTCTTATATCTCCCAATGTAATTTCAAAAGTATGTATATCCGTGTATGTAGAGTATTCAGATGACGAGTTCTCCCGAAATTTGATGAATTCATTAAATCCTGCTTTATTAACCTTTATTGCTTGTTTTAAATTCGCATCGAATATGCTCACACTATTGTTGCAAAATGTTTGGAAGGAAGGAAAGGCATCTAATGAGGATAACTTGTGAAATTACAAAAGAAAGGCGACTTAGGCCTCTACAAGAACTGGCACCGATTCATATTCGTGTCCATGCCAAGCAAAATACTAAGTCTCGCCATCCTGGAGAGAATAAAAGATGAACTGGACACAGAACTCCACCACCTAAAAAAAGCGGAGTTCAAGAAAATCAAATCTTGTGCGGTTCAAATTGCAAAGCTACGCATCATCATCACAGAACAGAGCATAGAATGGCGGTCAAATCCCTATCTCAACTTTAATGACTTTGAAAAAGTTTTCGACAAACAGCCTTCACTATGAAGTAATTCGGAAACTACTTCAACATTATGAAGTGCGGCAGTTTATTATTATTATCATTATTATTATTTTATTCCTTTACATTCCCAGTGGAACATAGCGCTTCAAGCTAGAGGCTAAAAGTTTCGGTAGCAGTGGTTTTATTTTTATGGAGTGGGGTTGCTAGCCTCATGCCCTACCTTCCCTATTTATCAGTCTTATTCCTGGCTTAACGAGGTAAAGGAGTGCGTCCGTGGCCGGGGATAGAACCCTGGATACCACACGTGATTGGCTAGCATTATAGTGCTGTGCGGTAAACCAAGTCTTTATTAAGCTCATTCAACAGCTATCTGGTGATCTACTGTGGAAAAATCTGTGAAACTTTAGAAGTCAATGCAGGAGTTAGACAAGGCCCACTTCTTTTCCTGATTTATGTTAATGAGATTCCATTGGTAGTTAAAAGTCATTCTGCTTACTGTTTGCTGATGACATCAAGATATGGAGGGCTTTACACGATGACAGTGATCAACTTGCTTTGCGGGAAGATTTAAACTCGTTAAGTGATTGGTGTAAGCACTGGGCCTTGGTGATTAACTTAAGCAAGAGTGTAGTTATGCATGTATCTCATAGTCACGTGCACAATTACTCAATGAATGGCATTACTCTCCCAGTGGTCACTGAGTACAAGGACTTGGGAGTGGTTGTCCAGCATGACTTGAAAACAGCAACAAACTGTAGAGCTGCAGCCACTAAGGGTTTTCGAATATTATGGGCCATACTCAAGGCTTTTGCGAACTTTGACGCTGATATATTTCGTATATTATATCCGACTTATATCAGACCTCATTTGGAATATGGAATCCAGGCAGCGAGCCCGTGTTTCAAATACGAAATAGACTTATTAGAAAGGGTGCAAAGAGTAGGAACTAAGCTAATAAAAGGTTTCTCAACCCTCTCATATGAGGAGAGGTTAAGTCGACTGGGTTTATTTCCACTGTCATACAGACGACTTAGGGGTGACCTAATACCAGCATACCGTATCCTAAGAAACGATTTTGGAGCTAATTTATTTCTTCCTTCTAGCACCAACCAATTGCGAGGACATCACCTCAAGGTTCAAAAACCACGGTCGAATCGTCTGCGTTTGGAGATCCGTTTTTCGCATCGTCAGTGAAATCCTTTCCAACAGGCCTCTGCAGATTTTTGTCAACGTTTGCCTTCTCTAGCTGCATATTGAAGATGTCAGTTGGTAATACAGAATGAATTAGCGAACACAAACTCTGGGATAGAACCAATCGAGAACCGACTACCCAATAAATATTCAGAGGAAAATGGTGATGGATTAGACACACACTGAAAAGACCATTGAGTGTCTTCGCGCGCCAGGCTGTCCTCCAAGTGGAATCCGAACGGACAACGAAGGGTTGGGTGTGGGTTCAGGGGTGATATGGAGGAGATCGTGCGAGGAGGTGATGACAGACTATGGGCAGTCGTGAAGCCAGTTGAAGTGGACAGCAGAGAGAGGGACAAAATGGAGATGTCCTGCTGAAGCTCTATGTTCCACTCGGAACCGGATGGTATAGTAATAAAATAATGACAATAATAATTACGTTTACGATGAACGTTATAGTGTCATAATAATTTCAGTGACAGATTTCTAAATGTACTCTGGATATTACTTACCACGATTAAATTGACGTTTTCGATAAATAGGACAATTCGTATTAGAATTGTATCGTATTAATTGTTGCATTAAGGATCTTGTAGCCAGTACTGCATCTCTGTTCACCTTTGATTCTTCAACTTGAGATTTCTGTTCATCTACAGTATTCCTCTTCATTTCTAATGTAACTGGATAGAAAAATACTTTAGCACTGGTACGTTTTGTATCATTGGGGATGGAGTTTTCACATTCATAAGGCAACCATACAAGTAGCAAACTATAAGATAATCCTGAGTCACCTAAATATTAGAAAAAATAGAAAGGGAAAAAGTATATCAGTTACTCAGAGTTAACCAACCTTATGAAAAACTTTCATTTCGACATCTGTTACTCAGGTTATTTTGTATTATACTACTTATTATTTTATTCCTTTTCGTTCTGAATGGATCATAGGCCTTCAAGCATGAGACTTGAAGTTTCAGTAGTAGTAATAGTAGTAATGGTGTTCTTGCTTTTTCCTATGGGTTGGGCTTGCTGGTCTAACGCCTGACCTTCCCTCTCATTCGGGCTTACTATCAGCTAAGCGACTTATCAGAATTACGTCTGCAGGACGATCGAACGTGAGGTGTGGTTGGGGCGGGGTCATTCTAACACTGAACTACAGACGCTCAGTTTTCCATAAATTCAAGCGAATTATCTCAATATAAACCCGCAACTATTAAGCCATCAACGTTAGTTAAGCCAGAAAGAAAATTGATGCGTCCCGAAAAGCATTCCCAGCAGGTGGCTGCAAATTTTTTAATCAACAGATGCCTTCAATCCATAATGAAGAACAGATGGTAGGCTAGCCAGAAAGGATTAGAAACAGGGATCTCTATCAGGCTACAAGTACCCAACAAATACCCTGAAGGAAATAGAGATGAATGAGACACACGCTGAGGAGACCGGTGAATAACAAGGCACGCCTGGTCATTAGTCTAATGGAACCCGGGTGGGAAACGATGAATTGAGCATGTGTTCGAGGGTTTCGTGGAGAAGAATGTGTGAGAAAAAGATCAGCTGATTCAACTGAAGAGGACTGTGAAGAGTATGACAAAATGGAGATCTGGTGTTGAAGGCTTAGATTCCACTCAGAACCCAAGGGAATATTAATCAATCAAATCCCCGCGAACCAGCAACTGATAATTAATCTGATGCTCACTAGAAACTGACCCTATACTGGAAGTATCTGCGGTTCTAGTGAGAGGTCGTGACTAGTGGGATCACAAATTTACGCAAGAGGATAGTTACCCGTCCGTGATAGTGTCTGGTGGCTGCGTCAAACATATATATATATATCACTAACTGGCAGAAGTTAATATTCATGAACCACTGGATCGGGTTCCAGTGGCTTAGTGATATACGAGCTCCTCTAGTAACCAGGAAGTCGCGGGTTCGAACCCCAGTGGGTGCGTGCCGATGAAGAGTCCCAAACTATGGTGACACAAACAATTGTACAGTACTTCAAGATGGTTTTCCAGTGGTACACTAACTGTTGTCATTCTGAGTACATTAATCATGTGATCGATTTAGAGTAACCTAGCAGTAAAGTTTTCAAATCCGGCACTAAGTAATGCATGTTCGAAGGCGAGACAAAGTTTTAGAGTTAGTGATTTGTCTAAGGACTCCTAAAGTCTGAGTCGTACGTGGTAGATATGGTTTCTGAATTATCCAAGTCAGATTTTGTGTCATATTCCTTGTAAATAAGCAATCAGATTCAGAAGTTGAACGATTTGTTAGCATTTTCACGTGTATATATATATATATATATACATATATATACACATATATATATATATATGTATATATATATAATATAAGCCGGTTAAATCTCTTTAAAACATGAAGAAGTTCCGATTTCAGCATTGGTCATATAATCATCTGGAAATATCTTATAAGCACAGGATTCTTGTCAAAAATACATGGCATAAAGGTGAATCCTTCAGAGATTTATACCCTACAGAATGAGTGGGTTTGATTTCTACTTCTTGGAGTAGGATGCAAAAAGTGTGGAAAGACGATCATTATAAATTAAGCAAGATTAAACATTCGCTGGAAAGAACAGATGACTTGAGATGACCCAAGGAGATAGTCAGCTGGTGGATTGATTCCTTGTCATCAGACAATGAATCGCATTGGGAATGCGCAGAAATTTCTGTCGATACTGAATATACTACTGACACATGGGAATAAGCTCGTCAGGCAGTCAGTCAGTAAGTCAGTAATATGATTCGACTCGAAACCAGACATAAATGTGCTCTTGCAAATGGGAAATGGTAGCTATCTTTTGAGATTTCCTTTAGGCGATGCATTGTGCGAGTTGAGAATGTATTTTGTCAGGCGTGGGAATGCAGATGTGCAAATGACTCATTGATAGTAAGGTGTTGCAATTTTCTACAGGTCAGGAAGTTGTGGGTTGGCGTGATTAAATCAAATTTATCCTGCCTGTGGCTGGCCAAGTAAAAGGCCGCCCTTATGAATTAACAAAGTCAAGCCTGTGGCTGAAACAGCTGTTGTTGTTATTGTTGCTGTTGATGTCTGTTTGTGTCGTTGTGTTGTTGTTGTTGTTGTTGTTGTTGTTCTGTTGATGGTAGTTGTGTATGCGGTGGTGATTGGACGTGGCTGCCTTCTAAATCACTCGCTCGCTCGCTCGCTCACTGACTCACTGAATTGCAACGACGACGAGCACCATTCAGCGAGTGGTGATCTAACCACGCCTCCTCCTGCTCACACCTTCACCATCACATCATCAAGCTCACCACACACCAAACGCTTGCCACCTAAACTGACTCACTCATCCACACAGTCAATCATCCTCAGATACACATCGCTCCCTGCCGCTCTCTCCCCATCTATCAGTTACACACACTCGCCATCTATCTCTCTGTCTCTCCCTATGCATCCCTTTATCCCTATCCCAATCACTAACTCAATCTCTAGCTTCACCTCCATCTCAAACTCCATCTCCACCTCTATCTCTATCTCCCACTCTTTTGCTCCTCCGCAAGTGACGCCCCATTCACTGGTTAACTTCCATTATGAAAGTATCGCTTATCACCCAAACTGACCGACTGATCCACTCTCTTTTCGTAATTGCCTTTCGCCATTTTAGCATTGCTTCCTACCAGCTATTCAAGTCACCTGAAAGATGTCACCCCATAGTTTTATGGCTTCTGAATTAGGTATGTTGAATATGTTGACAGCTAATTGCTGTTTAATTTTCAGGTAGTCATCTTTGGGTCATTCCATCTGGATACTATTGTGAATAAAAAATATTTCCTGAAATTTCAGAACACGATTTGAGCAAGGGAATATGTATTTTTGGGCCTAAATTTCCATCAGGCTTCACTGATTATTTATTCATTATTTGTTATTCCCTTGCGTTCCGTGTGGAACATAGGGCTTCAACAACACATTTCCACTTTGATCTGTCTTCTGGCGTCCTCTTCAGCTTGGTCCACGATTGACCAAACTCTCTCATGTCTTCTTCACATGATCTCCTCCATGTCACCACAGGACGACCCACTCGTCGTTTTCTGTTTACATTCCACTCGAGCAATGGCCTGGCGTGCGATGTCATTCGGCGACCTCCTCAATGTATGCCCGATCCACCTCCACTTTCTCCTACATATTTGTTGAGCTATCGGCTGTCGCCTGTTGGTTTGTTCCCATAGTTCTTGTTGATTATTCTTTCTGACCATTTGATCTTCAGTTTGGAGTGAAGGCAGCTGTTGATGAAAGAGATGACTCAATGCAAAGATGGACAAGAGAAGGAGAAGCTGAGTTCAGTGTACACTACACTGAATAAAGAAGTGAAGAAGAAGAGTACTAGAAAAGACAAAGGACATTCTACGACACACTGGCCGGCGGCTGAAGCGGAGCTGGCCTCAGGTAAAAGAGACATCAGGACACTATATCAGATAACCAAGTCTCTATCCGGGAAGAGATCAACCCAGATGAGGAAACCAATAAAAGATGTTCTAGGGAACCTGATCACCAAGGAGGAGAAACAAATTAAACAATGGGCTGATCACTTTAAAGGACTCTTGAATCGACCACCACTGGCAACTCGCCCAGAAACACACCACCACCAACAGCACACATGGAAATGCCAGTGGACACCACTCCTCTAACGAAAGCTATCATGCTAATGAAGTCCAGCCGGGAAGGCAGCAGGACCAGACGGCATTCCTTTCAAAGCACTGAAGACGGTCCCAGAGATTACGGCAGATGTTCCCACTCCACTACTGCAAAAATGTTTGGAAAGAAGGAAAGGTGCCTACCTTGTCAAACTGTCAAAGAAGGGTGACTTAGGCCTGTGCAAGAACTGTCATGGAATAATGCTCTTGTCCACGCCAAGTAAAATACTAAATTGCAGCATTCTGGAGAAAATAAAGGATGCACTGGATCGAGAACTCGGCCTACTGAAACAAGCTGGATTCAGCAAAGGTAAATCATGTGCTGATCAAATTGCAACGCTACGCGTCGTCAACACAGAACAAAGCATAGAACAGAGTGGCAGTTAAACCTGTCTCTGCCTCAACTTCATCGACTTCGAAAAGGTAACGACTTAGACAGCGTTCACCGAGAGACGTAATTTGGAAACTACTTCAACACTACGGTGTGCAGTGCTCAAGTCTTCATCAACCTCATTCAACAGCTGCCTATATGACAATGCCATGTGTCAAGTGGTCCACAGCGGAAAACTCAGTGAGGCGTTCGAAGTGCATACAGGAGTAATACAAGGCTGGCTGCCAATTATCACCTATGATATTCTTAATTGTGGTGGACTGAATTATGCGTCAGACTGTGGGTAGCAAGAAAATAAGACTACTCTGTAACGATTAGAAGACTCTAGAAGATCTGGATTTCGCGTGTGGATGATTTATGTTTAATGTCACACACACTCGAAGATTTGCAAGCGACATGCAAACAACTGGCTGAAGAGGCAGGCAGCGTGAACAGGCAGACTTCAGGTGAACACAGAGTAAGTGGAGGTGATGAAGATAATCAATCAACAGCAACAACAAAAGCAACTTCCTTCACTTATCTGCGAAGCATCGTTTCAACTACAGGCGGAACGGACGAACATGTCAAAGTCAGAATCGAAAAGGCAAAATATGCCTTCATCCACCTGAAACCGCACTCCGCAGCATAAGGAACAAGATTCGTATTTTCAACACCAGTGTGAAGTCGGTTGTTCTAAACCGGTCCGAAACTTGGCCAACGTCTCACTAAAAGGCTTTACTGAAGTACATAATAAAATATCATAGACATCTGAAACAATTTGGATCAATAGAATCAAATATAATCGAGGAGAATGTAAATAGAACAAATGATAATAATAATAATGCTTCAGTAATAATAATAAGTATTCTAAGTCAGAGTTGAAGGCCATGGAAGGGAGACGGACAGAACAGACCTTTTCTGAACACCAAGGTTGAACTGAAAATTCGTCCTATGGCGATTGCCTCAGCTATGCTTCGTAGTCGAAGGCGTACAAACTTAGGGAATCAAAGTGACACCAATCTTATGATCCGTATACACAGGCTGTGCCAAATATGAAACTCTTGATTAACCTTACGACTCCTTTACCTAACGCCGCTGGACAATAAATGCTCAAGAAGGCTCTGGTGGGCGTGACAAGCCATTCTACCCATGTACCTACCGTCGCCACAAGAACACTGAAATTTGTAAATGAAAATTGAGTTAACCCGGACTCATTAGCGCTTATCCTTCACCTGAATTCGAATTATACAAAGAACGAGGGGTGAATTTCAAACATACTGTCGAAACATCAAATCAACAAACTTAAACAAATTTACACTCTACCATTGTGGCATAATATTATATCTTCAATATTCATTTGATTATCTGGGTGTCAGTGTGGTACTAATATATGTGTAAAACTTGGGCACTGTGGTAATAAGTAGTTCCATATTAGTTTGTTTATTAGATATATCACACAGTGAAACAGTATTACTGTTTACTGGATGACAAGGTTTCGAACACAATTTATTGTTCATAATCATCCATCAATTATAATCACACGACTTCGAAACTTGAGTTTTATAGTTTTCTTTGTTCTCTCCTATTTGTCGTTGTAGGGGTAGTAGAATTTTCCAGATGTCCGACTGGACAGGTGTTGAATCATTCCTATTACACGTATTTTCATTCAGTTGATTCGATAAACAAAGCTTCCGTTATCGATCTCTACCTCCACCCTGTGACTTAAGATTTTAAAACTTTCATCTTATCCCATCATCCTATTGTATGGTTGTATGTAATTGCATGTAGTGAGTGCCATAGCTGAACTATTCTCTAGATTTCTTATCTTATTCGGATCAACTAATCTAGATTTTGCTAGGTTTTTATGCTCGGCTAGTCTGACTGCCCCTGTTCTACTACTTTGACCTATGGTTGAAAACGTATTCTGATAACATGGACCTCAACAGTTGTCATTCCATATAGAGCGGAGATATCAGACGATATCAGAAGAGTACTCAATAAGCTCAACATCAAAGTTTTCTTCAAAACATCAGACACGCACACTGTGAAACAACTTTGTCCATATAAAAGACCAAATCCCTAAAGATTCTCTATCTAATTGTGAAACAATTAGTCCCTTTGATAAATTTGAATAGGGCATTAAGAAGACAAATTTCGCGAGATGATATCATTTCGTAGTTTCTTTACAACCGCTTTACAACTAACATGGTTAACAATAATAAAATAAAGTTCATGACAATTACTCAGTTAAATAAAAAACAAAAGTACATACTAATGACCAATCATATTTATATAGGTCAAGTAGTCCAGGGTAGGCGAAGATTGAAGTCTATTGATTTTTGTACACACAGTTTAGGCTGTATGTGATTAATCCAAAGTGCTTCCATCACCTTCAATAACCTTGAATTAGAGTTATGTGAAATAATTGTAAAACAGTCATTAATATTTATTTTGTGACCTGACATTAATAAGTGTTTTGCAATGGATGATGCTGGATTTCTATTCAGATTACTGGCATTGGGATTTTCTATGTGATTTAGTAGCCATTTTGGAACATGTTCTTTCCGACGACATTGGAACATTCTGTTGGTTCTACCTATATAGGTGTCACCGCAGCTGCAGGTGAACTTGTAGATACAGTTTGAAGTAGAGTCCACAGAATTTCGTCCTTTAATCGTAGGTACAGGGATTGAAAATGTTCGGCAAGTGAGGAAAAGAGATGCGGCGTAGAATGTGCGTTTGATGGCTGACCGGAGTCTTTGAGCTGTCAATTGCATAATCTGATCACCCTTGAATGGTAGGTTAATAAAGATAGCTTTCTTTGGTACCGAAGCTGTCTTTTCAAGATGTGGTCTTTCTTTACTGTGACAAGTGATAAAGTTTTCCGGATAACCATTAGCTAATAAAACTGAATGTATATGTCGACAATGACCAGGAGAGATGATGGTACGATTCAGAGATCTATTTTTCGTAAACAAACGTGGAGTGGACAATATCTTCATTTTACCAGTTTTTGT